ATGAAATTTACAAAATTCAAAGCATAATTCAGAGATTTGTCCTGGCTACTTAAGAAAACTTTACAACATCAAGAGCGCAATCATCGAATTTAAAAAAAGTAATAATACATACTAATATAAATAAGAATTTTCTATTAAACCATTCAAACAAAGAGAGATATATTTTATATAGATACCTATGATAGATTTTATTTTATGTAAAATATTGAATTTGACTATTAACTAAATAATATAATAGGTAAAATATATATAACACCTTACCTGTAGATATAATATAACATCTGTTAATTAATACCAATTGTATTAACAAATAGGGAACAGATTCAATTCAAACGTAAAATAGAAAAATATTTACACGTTAGATTCCACATATTCATCTGTTTACAATTAATAGTCGATTTTATCTAGATATTTATATCAATCAATACGACAAACTATGGTGAAAATAATAATTAGAATTCAATTACTCTGCAATGATTTAATGCACATCGTACAATGCAGATAGCGCATCTATTAAAATATAAATTGTAACTGAAAACTAAATACCGTAATATCTACACTGCAGTTATTAAAGTTGTTTTCAMGGGCTTAAAATCTATATCWTACAAGTTTCGTTTCGTTACAAATGTTACAATCAATATATAATATTATACTTTTGAATAATTATTTTCGTAWATTCGCAGTATACAGCTGATATGCCTATTATAATTAATATTATGACCACGAATGAAAAATATTTTTGAAACACGTTGAAATAAAAAACCATATAATATATATATTGCACTATGATCCATTTCCTTGGCATCGTATCGGGTGATAAAAATACTAGTAAAATTCAACGTGTAAGTTACAATGGCTTAACGTGCGTATATGGGGCTTACCATTAAAATATAATAGGTAGGTAGTAACGTCGATAATGATGTTTCGTAGTTTGTACTTAGCTGCAGAATGAGCCATACAACCGGTCGAATCGATTACAATAATATGGCAACATTTTACATTAGCAACGGCTCAGACATTTTTCGACCATCACCACWCAGCTTTATCATAATCATAATTATTTGAACTTCGTCCGACGTTCAATTGGGTTATTGCAATGGGTTGGTTCAAAATGAACATATTGATGATGCTAAACGATAATCACACAAATCCACAATTTCAAATCATAATACTTCAAAATATACACCTAATAACTAATTTAGTTAAAAATGTCACGATATTAGAGTGTTTTATRACCAAATATTCAAATAACTTATAGGTATGTGCAGTTTACAAAAATTGTATTAGTTATTATTTTGGCAGCTCTGAATTATTTAAAAAACTATTTTGTTACAACTAAAACCAACCGCTTACCACTTTAATGTATTAATAAATTATAATATTTTCTCTATAAGACTCACTGCTACATCACCTCATGCTCACATCAAAATTACCTACACATTTAATAATAAATTTAAAACGTACCTATAAAAATATAGTTCCAAAATTCTAATCATTACTATTATATTTTTCTATTTTAATACATCTCATCAAACACATTATACTCCAGTGCATCAACCCCTGAATACATCAATAAATACATAAAAATGTATTCATAAATACATTCGTTATCTCTGTCTTAAACACACGTGACACCTAAATCACTATATTTACGTTAGGTATGTGATTCCAATACAGTATTATTACTCTTAATAACTGATTAAATTTATATTTTATTAAACTTCGAGGAAATAAATAGCAATAGTAGACAGTATAGTAATAAATATAACAAACTTGAAGATATCTCTTAATACTGTTAAGTGTTAATACTGTGTAGTACTTGTACAATAATACCGTTTTACATTTGTGTAAATAGAAATTTAAAAAAAAATAATTACCTACATTATAAATTATTATATTATTAAGTTACTTTTATAAAAAAAACTTACTGCACTTAAAATCATATACTATCGCGAAAATTCTCCCACCTCAGCAGATTCGCCTTTCCAACATAACTAGTACATTTACACATTAGTACAACTAGAAAGTGACCTTTATGGCTTTATCAGTTTCTSCTGATAATACATATACTTATAACACAGTCTATTCAGTCTAAAATCACATTGGCAACACTAGAAAATTTAACATAAGGTAGAATAAATATTTTACATTTCAAAATGTGATCGACTTTAATACTTTATTCAATCTGATCTCTTTTGATGCACCATTTCTTCGTTCAACATTTCTGGAGACTCACTCCGAGCCTTTAGTATCTACCTAAAGAAATAGCCAAGAAATAGCCAACAGTCAATAATAGAAATTATAAAGACTTATTTGCTATAGTTTTTTGTTGTCTATCTTATTCACATCAGCATCTTCATCTTTTTCACATTTTTCCGAAGCGAGATCTGTTTAAATATCCGTATAATAAGRCGGCATAATTGCAGTTTAGCTCCCCCTGGCCATTTTGAATTTTTTTTATCGAAACTTATGTAACTCATCGARTTAAGAACGATGGTGCAATCAGAATTGGTCGCTCTCACTTAGTTTCGAAGTTATGGCCTTCCAAAGTTTTCAATTTTACGTTTATACGTATGCGTGCAACGCTACTATAATAACGCGTGGAGGACCACCATTTTTGTTATTTTTTTGTACTACTAGAACTACTAGAATGCCGCGCATGGCTAGCTGGCAGTTACCCTGTGACCAACTTGAGGTGGTGTTGCACA